TGTGGGGAATCGAACCCGGGTCTTCGGCGTGACGAGCTAAAGCTTTGACCACTTGGCCCCCCTATCCCTCGGAAACACTGAGTGTGCGTAGCCTACCGAACGACTGACTGACTGACTGACTGAGTTTGGTTTTACGCCGTTTTTAGCAATAATCCAGCAACATCACGGCGGGGGACACCAGAAATGGGCTTCACACAATGTACCCATTGGTGCCTACCGAACGATCGCCAACCGAGCATTGTGTTCACATTACAGATACAATTCCACAAGGCACAAGGCACTCCAGTTATCAAAGGTTGTGTTTACTGACAACATAATCAGTGTCAGTGGGTATGTTGTTTGTTTTTTTAAATCATGATATGATAAGAAGCTGCGTTACTAACACGGTTTCCTAATTCATCCAGCTACATATCATAAGATCTATAAAACAACGTGGCGTCGTTGAGTGCAACCCACTGATAATCTCACCCACTGACAGACATGTGACGAGGGCATGACGCATTCCACCTTCATGGACGTCAGTTTCAGAAACGGGTATATCAGCCGAACCCACCCTTTCGTCCGCCAAGGACGTGTCACCTACCATGTGTTCATCCGCCTAATCACTCCGCGAGGGCGTGCTTCTCAGCATGTTTCTGAACTTTGGTCTGACAAAATGTGACCACGGAATTCTAATTTCAGCCACATTTGCTAGGTTACTTATATGATAACATGACATGTACTTACACTGGTCGGGCGCTGTTGGAACAGTGTTTCAGTTATATTTTCGTGTTGTTAACTTAGCACTCAATATTCCAGTTATATCACGGCGGTCTGTAAATAATCGAGTCTGCCAGACAAGCCAGTGATCGACATCATGAGCGTCGATTTTTGCAGTTGAGATAGGATGACATTTATTAACCAGGCTAGCCATCCGATCCCGTTAGTCACCTCTGACGACAAGCACGGGTTTTAACAAAGAAGAATCATACTTCTTGTTGTGGGTTAATGAAAGTGGTAAATATCTACGGCTTGCGCTATTTCGTGCACACCTCCCTAACTAGCTGTGATAAAACTGAAATATTGTTAAAACTAGCGTAAAACCCAGTTACTCTCATTTTACGTTGCTCCTGCCGGGTACCCAGTTATAGCTGGATACGGACTCTACACTCACACCACTTGTGATAGCCCCTAAATATGCCGGAAGCTATGTATGGGAGAAACCACGACTACGAGGGTTTACTAGAGATTGTGAGCCCTGAGAGTCGGGAACATCCCTCGGGCCTTCGGACAGATCTCAAACAAACCTTCGCGTTGACCTCTCATGTTGTATCTACCTGGTAACTTTAAGGTGCGTGTTTACAGAGGCATAGTCTAGTATTTAGTCATTCTAATTGCTTGGCAATCGAACAAGGCAACTTCTTATCAACCTACCTCACGTATAACTCAGACAGTCTTTTCGAAATCGTATCATATGGTTAGACTATATAATCAGAGATGTGTATTGTAAATCCCCGGAATGTGTATTGTAAATCCCCGGGAGGTGTATTGTAAATCCCCAGGAGGTGTATTGTAAATCCCCGGGATGTGAGTTGATTCCCAGACCTCTGCTGTGACTTTGCACTGATCATTTCTAAACCTAGGATATTATTCATGATTGATACAACTTTGTCTTGCTATCACTGATCGTAAAATATCACATTATTGAAAACTTCCAATATAGTGGCGATAACTGAGAGTCGGGAACATCCCTCGGGAACACCCCTCCTCTCAGGGTTCACAATCTCTAGTAAACCCGAGTAGGAGTGGTTTCTCCGACTTATCAACCGTTTTTGCGTAAAATATCTTTTAAAATAATATGTAACGATCGACATCAATACGCCCCGGGCAGAACACCATTGATGGGACAGCCGGCAAATGATGGAACAGCCGGTGTCAACTGGGATTCGACTGGCAGCCAACACCTTGCCTTGCACGCGCAATGCACGTGCTACCCGTGTCCTGCCCGCAGTACCCGTCTTGTGAGGAACACACGTTTCATACTGACAAACAATCTCATTCTTCACAGCGATCCTTCGTAGCCTAGTGGATAAAACCACGAAGTTAGAGAGCGAAGGGTTGCACTGTACAATTCACATCCCGGGGATTTACAATACACATTCCGGGGATTTACAATACACATCTCTGATTATATAGTCTAACCATATGATACGATTTCGAAAAGACTGTCTGAGTTATACGTGAGGTAGGTTGATAAGAAGTTGCCTTGTTCGATAAATGAGTAACACCCCCAAGCAATTAGAATGACTAAATACTAGACTATACCTCTGTAAACACGCACCTTCAAGTTACCAGGTAGATACAACATGAAAGGTCAACGCGAAGGTTTGTTTGAGATCTGTCAAGATATGCATTACATTTCCGGAGCCAAAGTAACTACTATTCACACTTTGCTAAGGATCAAATCATTGATTCAACAGAAAACTATGATGGTTTAAATATCTAAGCTTATTGTAAGAATGGATCCTAGGTTTCAGTATGTCACTGCATCTTGTGCATCCCATACCTGCTATTGACAGGTGTTGTGTACTTGACAATGACCCGTGCCATGATTTGCAAAATGGTTGATTGGTGCCATGGAAACCATTTTCATGGTTACTCATGTCTCAAGTGCATACGGTTAGCTTAAAGTGGCTGTTTGCCTAAAGTGGGGTTACCATATCATTATTTATCCAGATTTAGATAGATACAGTTTCAAATAATAAATCTATGTTTAAGTAAAGTTGGGAATTTTTGTTATCCTTAGCAAAGTGTGAGTAGTATGTCTGTTAGCCACTTAAGCTTAGTTCCAATTGCAAGTTCAACCAATGAGAATAAAAACCTCATGAACCAAAGGCAAAGCCTAAAGTATCCCGTCCCTTTACGTCACATGGCCATCCCATTCTCGCCTATCTAACCAACCCCGTCCAGTTCCAACTAGTATCATCCAAGAAGTTGACTATCCATACAACTTGGTTTTCCTTCAGTACCATCCAATTCCAAGCAGTCCCGTGCTTCCCCTCTCCATATCACCCCGCCCCTTCACGTCCCATGATCATCCGAGTCTACGCCTACCATCTCGACCTTCCAACCCATCCAAATCAACCCTATCACATCCCATCCAATGTCCTCCCATCCTATCCCATCCAGTCCCGTGCGAAGCCCATTTCTGGTGCCCCCCGCCGTGATATTGCTTGATTATTGCTAAAAGCGACGTAAAACTAAACTCACTCACTCACCATCCAGGGCCGTCCCATCATGTCCCGTCCAATCCCACCCCGTCCTATTAAACGCCTCTATGCAACCCCGTACTATTCCACCCCATCATTTAATCCAAGTGAAAATTGTGTCCTGTTTATCAGCCCCTGCCCCTACCCTACCCCTACCCCTACCCCACCCCACCCCATTCCAACCCACCCTACACAACCCACCCATCACACCAATCCCAAGCGAAGTCCAACCTCAGCCACGCACCTACTAGTATATATTTCCATATTAAAAACTCTCAATCCAAATCCGTTCTTATCAAAAGCCACCTACAGTGATAAAGAGGACTCCTAATCCACCCACGGTATATTGGCGTGTAGGGTCACCCTGCAACACAGTGGTAACAGTAACGTTGTCAAATGCAAACACTGAATTTGTTATCTCGGCCATCCAGAAAGTGGAACACATTAATTTTAGAGGCCTCTAGAGAATACTGGGGTACCCCTCTATACACACCTCACCCCTGAGTGTACAAACAAGGATAATACGACGTGACGTGAGGACAAAATCCGCCCATAATTCCGTCTCCAGGAGACGTTAAACCCGAGCTTATCTTCCTTGGTACACCCCTCTTAAACACTGGAATCTAAACTAGATATTGTGTTGGTTTAAAAGCATGGTTTGAATTAATTTAATTTTAATTTTGGAAAGAGTAAAATATTCACATATACTATTAAAAAAAGGTGAAAGAACACCCGCGATAAGTAGAAACTGTTCCAATACGAACAAGCCATGGCAAATTAATCATCGTCACATACAAGAACAGGTGTTTTAAAAAAATATTTAAGTAGTATATTTGTTTGCTATATCAATCAACATGTGAATAAGGAATTTCTTGTAACAATTCGTAATTATACACCCTGTCTTTACAAGATCACCCAGAACGGACAAAGAGTGGTGGGATAGTTTACTGTTTATGTGATCGATTATCAACATGGCTGCGATACCTGGTTCATATTACTATTTGCTGTGCCTTGCTCGTAGCACCGTAAGACCTCACTCATTGTCGTGTCAGTTATCCAGGGCACACTGCTGGCTAGTCTGGAATTTGACCTTGCAACCACGAACCAGGGCCTGCAGTTTAACCTTGGCGTTGTATATATTCCTAGTGATAAAGGTTATCTCACAATAATTAGATAAAGGTCAGCGTTAATAACGCACTAAGAGGTTTTGACACTGTCTCCGTTAAACGTCTCATTTTCATAATTAATTAACAGGTGTCACTCCAACAAATATAACGTCTCTGTCTCTTTCACCAGACTGCTTATCGCTGCATATTGTCTTAGATTACTGAAGACACAAACGAATACCCGAACACAGAATCATGTAGCAGTAGTTATAACGTTTCCCGTACAGAACAGCTCTGAACAGATTGTAAGGACAGTTGAACTTAAATTCCTCATGTATTCATAAACCCTATAGAATCTACCTATAGAAGTATCAGAAAATATACACTATGACCAAACATTTGTAAACGTCATCAAAACGCAGGATGAAAACAGTCGCTGAAACGCTGCAAGTGTGTGACTTAAGTTTTACGCCGCACTCAGCAATATTCCAGCTATATGGCAGTGAAACGCTGCAAACGTGGACATAATTAATTTGGGCCTCCTTGCTTTCCAAAATCTTGGCATCACATATATTCAATTTTTTTATGGAAAACTTTTGAAAACCTTATCATGTGAATATATCTTTTACTTTGTTCATTTTGACAGTGTTCGACGCCTTCGGTAAACCTACCGGTGGTATCACTAAAGGTTCCCTCTACTGGGTCGGGTCATATGACCTTTGCATGTCCATCAAGGCGGGACTTCCGGCGGGCGTCGTTTTGGGAAACAGGACACTCTCGACCCCGATCAAGTTCAATGGGAAGTTCTGTAGAGCCCAGTTCAGACTTCCGGAAGCGGTGATCAAAAGTTTCAATGTGGTACGTTTTGTTTGTTGCTTGGGGCGGTGGGGTAGTCTAGTGGTCAAAGCGTTGGCTCGTCACGCCGAAGACCCGGGTTCGAATCCCCACATGGGTACAATGTGTGAAGCCCATTTCTGGTGTTCCCCGCCGTGATGTTGCTGGAATATTGCTAAAAGCGGCGTAAAACCAAACTCAGTCAGTCAGTGTTTGTTGCTTTGTTTGTGTAATGCCGCACTCAGCAATATTCCAGCCATATGGAGGCGATCTGTAGATATCGAGTCTGGACCAGACAATCCAGTGATCACAATGTGGTTAATCAATCAATTTTTAAGCACTTTCGGTCCTAAGAATGACATTAATTCTGCTTTCAAAGTGACAAAGCATGTTGATAAGCGCAAAGGCCGTTATCTTTGACGCTGCGTAAATACCCATAGAATCAATATTTATGAATTCATTGCGGTGCAAGAAGACAAGATATGACATCATAAAAAGTGAACGATTTGAATTTCGGAATAGATTTACAATTTTGTAAACATTGATATCAGTTCCAAATATCAATATATATTTAATATGAAAAATTGAGGCAGAATTTTTTATAGAAATATGCGTTCACTTTTAGTAATTCCTTGATGAGACGGTTGTTATCGTTAAGTGACGATGACATGGCAGTTCGGACACACTGTTTTGATTGTACTTTCTTTCAGGACACACGCGGGGTCAAGATAAGTCTCTCCTGGGGAATGTGTGTGCCTGATTCTTGCCACAGCAATGACATCGCCCAAATGTTTGACTTAGGTACGTCCTCGATACAGTCATGTTTGACTTAAGTACGTCCTAGATACAGTCATGTTTAACTTAGGTACGTCCTAGATACAGTCATGTTTGACTAAGGTACGTCTTAGATACAGTCATGTTTGACTAAGGTACGTCTTAGATACAGTCATGTTTGATTTAGGTAGGTCTTAGATACAGTCATGTTTGACTTAGGTACGTCTTAGATACAGTCATGTTTGACTCAGATCCGCATAGATACAGTGACGATATCGCCCAAATGTTTAACATACGTACTGCTTAGATACAGTGATGACATCGCCGAGACGTTTCACCTAGGTACGTTTTAGATACAGTGATTCTTAGCTCAAATGTGCAATTTAGAATATACAGTCTCAGATGTAGTTGAACTATTTCTCTTAGGATGTAAAGATGCCTTCGCTCAGATGTCTGACGTGTTTCATTTAGGATATACACGTCATATGTTGGCCACTTTCCGGGTGTTATTGAGTATTTGAAGCACGGGAATTCGTTTTGAACTGACGGCGTAAGCCCGTGCTTTAAATACCCAATAACACACGGAATTTGGCCAACACGTGTTAAAGGACAATGTAAACACAAAGGTAAACCAAAAGGTCCACACGCGGTTTTTTTCTGTCGGCACTCATTGGCATTGATTGCGGGAACAGCAGTGAAGTGTCATGAGCCGGTCGTTTCGGCTGGACACCATCATGATGTACAACTGATGTACTGAAACAGCTGTGACAATGCTCTATCCTTCCAGGAATTATCAAGGGGAAAGGAATGACACCCCACACGGTCACCTGCTTCGAGGACAAGGATCTCACCAAAGACACATCGGGACTCGTTGCTGCGTAAGTACTTGTCAAAACATCGTGGTTACGCCTTTGTATGTGGATCGATTGGCACATAAACAGTCGCCATATGTAGGAATTTTGGCAGAGAGTCTCCCCAATAGCAAAATCCTGTGCTCTGTACGGATTTGGAGTCCTATTTTTTTCACTGTATTGAGGCACAGTACGTCCTAACCCGAGAAGACAGAGGTTAGAATTGCAGATCTTCAGCAACACATGCTTGTCGTAAGAAGCGACTAACGGGATCTGGTGGTCAGGCTCGCTGACTTGGTTGACACATGTTATAGTATCCTAATTGCGTAGATCGACGCTCGTGATGTTGATCACTGGATTGTCTGGTCGAGACTCGATTATTTTCAGACCGCCGCCATATGGCTGGAATATTGCTGAGTGTGGTGATAAACAACAAACTAACTTCCTTTTGGGTGTCACAATACATCCCGGCATCCAAACTTATCTCGAGATAGAAGGGGCGGTGGGATACCCTAGTAGTTAATGCGTTCGCTCGGCACGCGGAAGGCCCGGTTGAAACCCATTTCTTGTGTCCTCCGCCGTGATATAACTGGAAGATTGCTAAAAGCCGCATAAAACCCAGCTCACTCACTCACTCACTCGAGAAAACATTTCTCTTTACAGCATTATCTTACTGGTCTTCGTTGTCGTCGTGGTATTCTCCACTCTCGTGGATGGAGTCGGCGATTGGATAAAAGACAACATCAATACTGATAACGAAGAGAGCGACAACACCTACGAATTGAGTAAAATCAACGGCAACGTTAATGGTGGCTACGTGGCCGGTCCGGATGAGGGTAGTAGTCAGAATGTGATGGAGCTGAAATCAGCGGGCGAACTCCCCCCTGCCTACACCCCCCACCAGAACGACAAGGGAGACCTGGGAGAAGAGTATCTGAATGGTGGAGCCAGGAAGATCAATAACACCTCGGGGGTCAAGGTTAGCAGGCCCTCCAAAGGGAAACCGAAACAAACAGGTATTCTTCCTTTGTATATACGAACCATTGGCGCAAGCGATCCGGGGCTTCGTTCCACAAAGCTATCGTATCGCTAAGGCGATCGTAACTATCATACTTTTACATAGACATACGGTGCCGTTGAGATCCGGGTTAGAACTGGGCCCCGTTCCTCAAAGCGATCGTAGCGCTAAGGTGATCGTAACTCCCATACTTTAACATAGACTTACGACTGTCGTAGCGCTACGATCGCTTTGAGGAACGGGGCCCTGGTTTTCAGCAACCAATGCTTGTCGTAAGAGGCGACTAACGGGATCGGGACTTGATTATTTACTGACTACCGTCATATAGCTGAAATATTGTGCTGTGGCGTTAAACAACAAACAAACAAACAAACAGACGTACGACTCATAGCAACGATCACTTTGTTGAACGGGGTATAGCGCATATGCACATTGTCAGCTCAAAATCTAAAAACAGAAAACATTGTACCTTCGTGGATTTGTGCCACTGAGGCAGTTTTGATCTTGATTTGCACATTTGAAGAAAAAGGTCTGATTACAAAAAATGAAGCGCTCGGGCTACCATTTCATATGGTGTCCTAGTCGTCTAAAGATAGGTTGCGTCCCTTAGGCATGCGAGGAGCCGGCAACAGCGGGGAAACCGTGATATAAGTGATTCTATTGAAAGTGGCGTAAGGAAACTCATACATAGATCGAACCCGGGTCTTTTGCGTAACGAGCGGACGCTTAAACCACTGGGCTACCCCAGCGTTCAAATAATATGGAGAAGACTTATGCAGGGGTATTATTACCACCAGGTGTATGGGAAAACCTAGTGGTTAAAGGCTTTGCTTGCTACAAGGGAGAACTGAGTCCAAGTATGACTACAATGTATGGTGTCCACTATTATGTAGCCCATACAATTGTATTCCCAAATTCCCCCAAAAGACCGAAACACATACACAATTTATCCCATGCAATTGTCGCTACCGTTTTCCACAACATGGCGTATTTCTGTTTCAGTGTGTCAGCAGTTGACCAAGGCATTCTCTCTGTATACAAACATCCCCAAAATCCTGAACGGGACAAAGAACCCTAACGCCATCCATTGCCTGCACGGCATCAGGTTCTTCAGCATCTTGTGGGTTATCCTCGGCCACACCTACAACTACGGCATCATCTCAGCCACTGACAACCCTACGACGGGTGAGTGCATACAGGGAGGAATGTTTGTCCTTGGTCAAAGAGTCAGGTAAAGCTTGGTGTTCGGGAGTCAAGGAGTCAGATAAAGCTTGGTGTTCGGGAGTCAAGGAGTCAGGTAAAGCTTGGTGTTCGGGAGTCAAGTAAAGCTGAATGTTCAGGAGTCGGCTTGGTGCAAGTCGGAGAGTTTGTGAGTCGGCTTGCTTCGACTCGGAGAGTTGGGTTGTAGACTTGGTGCAACTTGGAGAGTTGGGGGGTCGCAATGGTGCCACTCGGAGAGCTGAAATCGTTCAGACCCGTGATATAGCCGGAATGGTGTGGCATAATACATTTTGTATATACAACAAGCAATTTATCTTCTTCACACGGTTATGTGTGTATCTTTTCCAGAGAACCTGATCGACGCTGACAAGCTGTTCCATCGCTTCTCCTTCCAGGGAATCCAAGCTGCAGGTTTCGCCGTGGATACATTCTTCCTGCTAAGGTTAGACTTCACATGCAAGAAAGCTCCATGGGCCCGATCCACAAACGTTCGTGGTACTAAGCCAATGATAAAGTATAGAGATACGACAGGTCGTAACGTTACGAGGGAGTGTAGTTGTAGTTTTACGCCGCTTTTAGCAATATTCCAGCAACATCACGACAGGGGACACCAGAAATGGGCTTCACACATCTTACCCATGTAGGGATTCGAACCCGGGTCTTCGGCGTGACGCGCGAACGCTTTAACCACTGGGCTACCCCACCGCCCCCGTAACGTAACGAACCCTTTGTGGATCAGGACCCAGGCCCACATTACTTCACGTGTAGCCAGAATATCCTTCAGTTCGATGTGAGCAGTACATGCACGTCCCTTGGTCGATAAAATACTCACCTCCCTTTACTTACTTGTAGACCCAAAACACACATTGCCAAATACAGCTGAGGATTCAGTGGTCAGTGCCTGTTCTAAAGGTCATGGTAGTAAGGGGAAGTAACCCAGAAAACCATGTATTCAGTCCACCCTGTACACGCCTGTGTCGCGTTGTTTGAACCAGCTGTCTGGAGTAGATCAGGGCAGGGCTGGGAAACGCCCGCTACCTTCCGTTCTATCTGCAAACGTTTTAGTTGAAACCATAAACAGATACGGATACGTAGTTTTAAAAAAGGCAACTTTATCCCGAGTGAGAGAGAGACACAATAATTGCTGTTTTGTCATGTGATGTGTTGTATAGCGCTGCACTGGTCAATGCTGGTCCAAATTTGGCCAAAGCAACGCCACCCACTTGTCTTACTTCTTTCATCTCATCATTGCTGAACACAGTTCCTATTGTTGGGTTGACGTTGTACAGCGATGTGTTGTAACAGCGCTTCACTGGTCAATGATAGTCGGCCCGAATGTCAGAATAATAAGGGGAGGTAATCCTTTATGTTTTGTGTTCAGTTAACATCTGTACATGTCTTGTCTCTCCGGGTCGGGGTGGCGGTGGGGTAGCCTAGTGGTTAAAGCTAGTGGTTCGATTCCCCACATGGGTGCAATGTGCGAAGCCCATTTCTGGTGTCCCCCGCCGAGATATTGCTGGAATATTGCTAAAAGCGGCGTAAAACCCAACGCACTCACTCACTTGGGGTCGGCTGACCCTGAACGGCTTGATAATAAGGGGAAGTAACCCTGTAAGTGACGTATTTTCTCGTCTCCAGTGGTCTGCTGATCTGCTTCCTGACCTTGAAGGATGTAAAGAAGAGGCCCGTCAACTGTGGCTACATGGGGATGTTCTACTTCCACAGATACTGGCGGTAGGGGTTATTTCCATGTCCAAATCTGTCAGGTTATGTTGTTGTATAGATACATGGTGAATATTGAAGTCAATTTAACTATTATCTTCTTATTCCGGAATAATAACTAAATATTTCTTTGCTCCATTAGTAAGCACAATGACCTAGCTTTGAGGAAAGCTTTGCAATTGACAATTGCGTTGATGGTACTAACAATCATATCATCAGTGTTGGCAATTGTCCGCAAAGTTGACAAATATGCTATCAGCATCGACAATCGCGTTGTTGGTGTTAACAGCCATATCATTAATCTTCGCAATCGCATAATCAATATCGACAACCGAAATCAAGTAATCGGGTTTCTATTAAGTCATGCTGACAACATGTCTGTTTCAGCCTGACCCCCATCTACATGATCGTCATGATGGCATTCTCGTGTCTGTACCGTTATTTGGGAGAAGGACCTCTCTGGCCGGCAGACTTACCGGCCGCGGACAACTGTAAGCAGTACTGGTGGACCAACCTCCTCTACGTCAACAACCTCGTCCACGTCGACAACCAGGTTGGTCACCAGGGTGACGTTTGTCCACAGTAACAATCGACTTTTGTGTTGTATTTGACGAAATTCCCTGGTCGTCGGAAACGTATTTCGAGTTATCCATATGTAGCAGGGCGTGGGGTCATCCCACAAATGACATCCTTACCTTGTCAGCTTGCTGACGGGGTTAACCTCTTTGGCCATGTGGACAAGGCGTCCGACTTCGGATCAGAAGGTCCGTGGTTCGATGGTCACCACTATCGCGGAGATTTTATGGCCGCTTCAGATAGTTTGAGCAATTAGTGTGAATTTGGGCGATGATGCCTTGAAAGATCACAAACGATCATCGTCTTGCACGACATGGTCGCGATAATTCAGCATTCATTTAAGTCTTATTACGACATCAACATCAGAAAATCACCAAGGTGAATTTGTGATAATCTAAATGAACTCGTCTGTCTCGTCGATAGACAAGGAGTCGTTTCTAAAAACGAATATTCATAATGTTAATTTGTGAGAGGCAACTAACGGGATCGGATCGACACCCTCGTTGACCTTTGTATACATGTCACCGTGTACCAATTATGTGAATCACTGGATTGTATGGTCCAGGCTCGAACTCGATACTATTTTACTCACAGCTGTCGCAGAGCTGGAATAATGTTGAATGCGGCGTTAACCGCTGAACAAACACAACGCAGGTTTTAGTATTGTTCATCGGGGAACACATTTATGTCATTTACTGTATGTGACCCTTCCCTCCACAGTGCCTGGGATGGTCGTGGTACCTAGCTGATGATATGCAGTTCTACGTCATCTCACCTTTGTTTATCCTCCTTCTTCATCGGTGAGTGGTACATTCAATCTTTATTTACAGTACTGAAAAGGCCGTAGGCCTATAGTACATTTTACACACAGTAGCAGATGGTACAATAGAGATGAATATATCGTAAATAATATCACATCAGGCCCCCGTTTCACAAAGCTCTCGTAAGCCTAAGATCTCGTAACTTTTCTCGTAGCATTCGTACTTCCTATGTTAGCGTATAGGAGGTGCGAATGCTACGAGAAAGGTTACGAGATCTTAGGCTTACGAGAGCTTTGTGAAACGGGGCCCAGGCCCCGATTTCTCGAAACAAACTTAAGTTTTTACTCAAATTTCAAACTGAGTTGGGCAATTTAAAACAGCTGAATTTTTAACTTAACTGCATTTTTTAAATAAAAAAGCCCAAACAGCTTAAGTAATCTATCCACCAAACTCAAATCGTCTACTATTTTTGAGTTTAATATCGATTTTAGTTCATTCTGGGAAATGCATTTTCTCAAATTTGAGTAAAAACTCTAACTTAAGTCGAAACTAAGACTTAAGTTTGTTTCGAGAAATCGGGGCCTGTATTGCAGAGGATCTGGTATTCATTGCATGGTATATACATTGCAAGGTATTTTGTGACTGTTTGATTTTGGAATGACATGTGGGTATAGAATTTGTCTATTCGGGGGTTCAAATAGAAATATTTCTTTATGTATTCTTTTCTGGTATTGGTATACAATGGACAAACAATCAAGACAACATTATATTTACACAAGCAGTTTTCTGCGGTATCCCTAAATGTCTACCCTTTTCTATTACAAGATCATAAGAACTACATCTGGTTCATTCATTATATGCTAAACAAATTATTAGGGATCTTCAATATTATAGAGGTACGTTTGTATGAGAAAACGACCTTGAAAGCAATCCTAAAATTTATTCAAGATCCCGAAATATTTTTTTCTGTTTACGTCGCTTTTAGCAATACCCCAGCAATATCACGCCGGGGACACCAGAAATGGGCTTCACACATTGTACCCATGTAGGGAATCGAACCTCACATTCTACTCGTGTATAGTCCGTTTGACTCATAAGCAGTGTGTACGAGCCAGGTGTACGAGAAGTGCCGACAAAGTTATTGATTCATCCACCTGTGCTGTGCCGTCTCCATCCTTCCTCGCGGGCGGTGGGGTAGCCTAGTGGTTAAAGCGTTGGCTCGTCACGCCGAAGACCCGGGTTCGAATCCCCACATGGGTACATTGTGTGAAGCCCATTTCTGGTGTCCCCCGCCGTGATGTTGCTAGAATATTGCTAAAAGCGGCGTAAAACCAAACTCAGTCAGTCAGTCAGCCATCCTTCCTCGCACACCTGGCTGTTCCTCTCTTTGCACTCCTCCCTCGTAACAAATAGTGAACTGTGTAAATATTTTAATGATAGTTTGTGAAACAACTTTTTTTATTTTTAAGACAAAAATTCTGCAAACAACTCACGGAGTTGGTCTGATGTTTTGATTATGATCAGCGTTTCATTGAGTATTATATGTTTATTAGTTTTCGAGTTAGATTGCAATTCATCGGTCCGCTTTTGAGCCAAACGGACTGTAATAAATCGTACCTGGGTTGTCAGCGTGACGAGCGAACGCTTTTACCTTTAGGCTACCCCACCGCCCCTCGATGAGATAAAGGTGAGGTAACTACCCAAATATGTTTTATTATAACGTTTCCTGCTACTCCAGCATCCCTGTTGCTGGTGTCCTGACGACCGTGTCGATGATGTTCGCCGGGATTGGCTCTTCTTTCGCGATGGAATACAAGTACGGCGGAGACATGTTCAGGTGAGCTATCGTGAAATAAATTAGTTACACTTACCAAATTTGACTTTGTTTGCTGTTTAACGCCGCACTCAGCAATATTCCACCTTTATGATGGTGGTCTGTAAATATTCGACTCTGGATCAAAATCATCACAATCTATGCAGTTTGGATATGTCAACCAAGTCAGCCAGCCTGACCACCTGATCCCGTTGCATTGGTTGTTGAAGACCAAATTCTAAATCGGATCTTCACGGGTAAATACATTAAGTAACTTTCCCAGGTGGTTTATTTGTTGCTTAACGCCGTACTCAGCAATATTCCAGCTATATGGCAGCAGTCTGTAAATAATCGAGTCTGGACCGGACAATCCAGTGATCAACAGCAAGACTGACTGACTGAGTTTAGTTTTACGCCGCTTTTAGCAATATTCCAGCAATATCACGGCGGGGGACACCAGAAATGGGCTTAACACATTGTGGTCCATGTGGGGATTCGAACCCGGGTCTTCTTTAACCTCAACAGCAAGAACATCGATCTACGCAATTGGGAACTGATGACACGTGTCAACCAAGTCAGCGAGCCTGATCGCCCGATCCTGTTAGTCGCCTCTTAGGGCAAGCGTGGGTCATGGAAATATGTAGAATTTGATCACGACTGTTTTGTTTATTAGGACTGACAGAGTTCAGTTTAAGCAAAATGTTGCATATGTCATGTGATATGGAATATATATGCTCTAAATTCCCCTAAAAAGTAATAAATATATCAATCACTGATCACAATATGAATGGTCTTTGTCGAGAAGTTACATGGTCAAAACGCCATGAAAAGAGTTTTTGAGTTAATGGCGTATCATGTTTTTATTGGTGTACAGGATGAAGGAGAATCCCCATTACTGGGCGGACGTGTACATCGTCCCCTGGACCCGTGTCGGTGCCTACTGTGTCGGCATCCTCCTCGGCTACATCATGTTCAAAACCAAGAAAGGAACGCTGTCTAACGTAAGCATCTGATTGGTTCAACACTAAGCTGAATGGATTTGATTGGATGAATCGCATACTAGATATCTTGTAGATTTTAACTGCTTATGAACTCGCTTCTTGACAGGAATCTTGTCTATTTTAATTCCCAAGCTGAAGAAAAACACGCCATTTTGATTTGCGAGTAATGTACCGTATTTCATATAATTCAATTTGGATTGTAAATCGATTTGGTTGTCACTATTTTAATCTGTTACTCGGTTACATCATCAGTTGTAATGAAAGCACATGACGTTATCCAATTGTATCATAACGTCGGATTATCCCAGAGTAACGTGACGTTATGTCTGTCTCACAAACTTGAAAGTTGCGGATACGGTTAGAGTTTTTCGGATAATTACTGATTATATATTCTGCAATGTCGATAAACATTATTTATTATACACTTAATTGAAAGTTTCAGTTATGTGAGATCAGATGATTCATATCAACAGTGGAAACACACTGACAATTGGCATAACTAATCTGTGTTTGTATTGATCGTCAGCTGATATAATGAGGTCGTTTTCAATTCACCGATCAAATTATTCCGTAACTGCAAAAAATATTACGTTACGCAACTAAAGGTCATGATGTAAAATTATGTCTACAACAGCATGGTGTGATGCTGTTGATTCTACGGTGGGGTGACCTAGTGGTCAAAGCGTTCGCTCGTCACGTCGAAGACCCGGGTTCTATTCCCCACATGGCCACAATGTGTGAAGCTCATTTCGGGTGTCCCCGGCCGTGATATTGATGGAATATTGCCAAAAGCGGCGTAAAACTAAACTCACTCACTCCGCAGCGTAAATGTACATGTTGTGTTTTGTAGAAAAAAGCTCTGATTGGCTGGATTCTGACGTTCGCTGTGGGTGTGACGTTGTGCTATGTGACGTATGACTACCGCGCTGATGGCAAGGACCCATGGCCGAGGTGGGGAACGTCAATTTATGAATCGTTCGGGAGGCCGCTGTGGGCGATGTGTGTCGCCTGGATCGTCTACGCGTGTCACAATGGAAAAGGAGGTACGTATCACCCACTGGACTAATAACATCCTCCCTCACACACTGTTCGTCTCAGAAACTAGACAGGGATTTTAATAAACATGACATTGTTATCAACGTAGCTAAGATCGCTTTGTGGAACGTTGCACAACTCAATAGTACAATTATTTAGATTTGTTTGTTTGTTTGTTGTTTAACGCCGCACTCAGCAGTATCCCAGCTATATGGTGGCAGTCTGTATATAGTCGAGTCTGGACCACACAATCCAGTGATCAACAGCATGAGCATCGATCTACGCAGTTTGGATACGATGACATGTGTCAACCGAGTCAGCAAGCCTGACCACCCGACCCCGTTAGTCGCCTCATACTCGGATCTTCACGCGTACAGATTTGCCGTCATTGTGAATCCAGGTTATCAGCACAGTCCGCGTGTCTTGGGTTTCAGCAGAAACTATTAAATATAAAAGACTTAAGACACCTTGGATTAATTTCGTAATCGATATCGCATATATCAATGTCAAGGTCACTACGATATCCTATTCTTCCGGTTGCAGGCATCATCAACAGCATCCTGTCCTTCAGCGGCATCATCCCGCTGTCGAGGCTGACGTATGCCGCCTACCTCCTCCATCCCATAATGATGATTATCTATGTCTACGGCAGAAAGTCCCTCCTCTACATCAGCGACTACGACATCGTGAGTGACCCATATTGTGTTATTTTGACAGTAGCTCAAGCAATGGCGGAAGTAGTGAAGTTAAAGCAGAATCTACTGTTGCAGTGGTTGGTAAAGAAGTCGTAGCAGCAGTAGCAGCGACAGCAATAATAGTGGTAGTAGCAGCAGCAGCAGCCGCATAAGTGATATTCAGTATCAGAAGTATCTGTGGTGTTGACGAAATAAGGGGTAGTAGTAGTTGCAAAGCTTCTACTAGTAATACTAGTAATATATCAAAGTTGTTATTTCAGTAGTAGTTGTAGTAGTAGTAGTAGTAGTAGTCGGGGTAGCAGTGGCAACATCACTAGCAGACGTAGCAGCACTAACATTAGCCGCGTAGTAGCAGTAGCTGCACTGGAGTGAGTGAGTGAGTTTAGTTTTACGCCGCACTCAGCAATATTCCAGCTATATGGCGATGGTCTGTAAATAATCGAGTCTGGACCGGACAATCCAGTTATCAACAGCATGAGCATCGATCTGCGCAATTGGGAACCGATGACATGTGTCAACCAAGTCAGCGAGCCTGACCACCCGATCCCGTTAGTCGCCTTTTACAACAAGCATAGTCGCCTTTTATGACAAGAATGGGTTGCTGAAGACCTATTCTACCCCGGATCTTCACGGGTCAGCTGCACTGGTAGCAGTAGTAATAGCATTCGTAATGGAAGAAGATGCGCCGTGAGAACTTGAGGCAGCATACAGGAAACGGCTTGGCAGCTGAAGCATTCGGGGTCCCAGTCGTCATCGTTGAGCAGTAACATTACCAGTTCAGCAGCATCTGTATATATTGTGCTTGACATGCAACTGGGATTCGTGATGACCTTCGTGACGGAACCCGTGAAGTAAAACTAGGCTCACTCGCTCACTCATGACGGAAATGCTTAAGAGGCATGTTGCAAAGCTTAGATGATTTTGTATCAAGCATTAAGTTTGCGATCCAATGCCTTGTTCATATCTCAAGAGGGTTTTACCATTTGCTTATTTTGGATTTATCTTATTTGTCATTGATTCTGCGTTTTCATAAACGTATCACGTGACATCAAATGTGTTTCAGGCTTACCTGTACATGGGTCACGTGATCTGTACCTACCTGGCGGCGTTCTTCTTCTCCAGTATCTTTGAAGCACCGTTCCTCACACTGGAGAAGATACTCTTCCGGCGCGGCGGCCATTCAAGCTAATAATGCATTTTATTGGCCACATAACTTCTGCGTTGGAATTTCAATTAAATAGTCTTAAAAAGCGCAATGCATTTGAATTACGATGAAAACCGTAGTACAGGTGCACTCTGTTATTTTAAAGTCGTCACAATGCATCTTTATAAGCTTTGTTTTAACATCAATTATTTTGTGCATCTTGTGATAAACGATAATGGCCAGTCCAACCAAAGGCGTATAAACGTATATACGTCTTTGGTCCCACCAATGTTTGGGTACATATGTATGCTTTCGTATTTTGCTACGGGACAGTCACACTGACCTAGTTATTGAACAAAAAACAGACAATTCAGGGCAAGAATGATTTAGTTTTTCGCATGTTATACATGTTGCATTCTGTTCATGACTATAACCCCGTTCTATGTATAGATACAGTGATCTGATTAATATTCGTCGTGTTGTTTGCATTTTGTTTCATGTGTTTTTATTAATGATGTTTCTGTTTACGTTTATGTTTGATTTTGTATTGTCACAAAACCCGATATTGTGAACATCAAACGTTGGAATATCGAATTTATTTTTAGACAGTCATTGATACAAAATTGTCCGACAATGTTGATTATGAGCGTCATTTGATAAGAAAATCTGGCTTATATTAAATTAAAATCTGCAGATAGTATGTTTACCTTTTCGACAAAGTAAATGTTTCGAAAATATAAGTATTTCTGGAATTAACATTGATGTTAAACTAAGGGATAATGTAAGTGGACTTAGTATAAAAGTTTACTTTACTAACGCCATTTTGAACAGTTCTATAACGGTGTAGTTATATACACTCAGAGAGCATGTGAAACTAACAGATAATAATGTATATTTTCAAGGTTTATAATCATTTAAAAAATATGCTACTGTGAAAAAGAAACACTAATGTAAGCGTGATTGGCGTATTATTCTGCGTGTGAGCATTTACGATATAAATGATTTAAGGTTGTTTAATATCAAGAGCTTGGGAGAGTTTACAATACAATTGACAGTCACTTCATGTACTGTTATAGTATTACAGGTTTACTGTTGTTTTGTATGTACGTGTATCATACAAGCTGTGATATTTGAATCTAGTAACCCTCGTAAATGTGACGTGTGATCTATTTCTATATATTTTCAACAAATAAAGATGTTGTATTTCAATATTTATATATTTATATACAAATGTGATATTCTTTTTTCTGTAAATAATAATTTTGTTTACTTACAAAAATTACCAATATGGCAAAACATGTCTTAATTTTTTAAAGTATTAATTGTTTGCAATTATATGATTCGATGTAAATACAAAATAGCAATTCTGCTTGTGTGCATTGTGGGTGTAACTTCACCACTGATGGGTAATATACTTAAGGGCCACTCTATTTTCAGTCCTTCAGTATTTATGAATGATATTACAAAATCCAGAAATTTTATGAGCGATTCCCTGTATATGGAAATAAGTTGTAGTGTGTTTTCCTATGTCTTGACTTATCACACAAAGCGAACTTACAGCTGCATGTATGTACAAGGGAGAGATACAATAGTCGCTCTGTGAAATATGGACCCTGATATTTCCGATCTTCAAATAAATAATAAAAAAGAAGATAGACTGATACTTCTGTGGTTTTATCGTAAGTACAACTCATATCTCATATACTGAAACATTCCTGGAAGTCCACTGATTATAAAGCTGCGAGTGGGTGGGTGAGCGAGTGGGCGAGTGAATGAGTGGGCGAGTGAGTGAGTGAGCAAGCGAGTGAGCGAGTGAGTAAATACATGGAATCAAGTCCCAACTGTAAAATGATGGCCAGCGATCAATTCACGATGGAGACAACAAATGGTTAATAGCTTGAGCAAGCATCCACGTCACTGCTGCCATACACTCAACTGGGTGACCTCCTGGCCCACATTTCATCGGCGTTTTCGACGCCAGCTCGGGTTATCATGGAGCGATATATCCCAGCCCCCAATGGGAGAGTAATAAAGCGGTTGTTAGATAACTTGTGGACTACAATGTATCTCAACACTAATGACATTACTGTCGGTCTAGTGACATCACTTCTTATGTAATGACATCAATCACGGTCTAATAACATCAGTTCCACCTAATAACATTGATCACGGTCTAATGACATCAGTTCCCACCTAATGACGTTGATCACGGTCTAATGACATCAGTTCCCACCTATGACATTGATCACGGTCTAATGACATTACTGTCGGTCTAGTGACATCACTTCTTATGTAATGACATCAATCATGTAATGACATCAATCACGGTCTAATAACATCAGTTCCCACCTAATGACATTGATCACGGTCTAATGACATCAGTTCCCACCTATGACATTGATCACGGTCTAATGACATTACTGTCGGTCTAGTGACATCACTTCTTATGTAATGACATCAATCACGGTCTAATAACATCAGTTCCCACCTAATGACATTGATCACGGTCTAATGACATCAGTTCCCACCTATGACATTGATCACGGTCTAATGACATTACTGTCGGTCTAGAGACATCACTTCTTATGTAATGACATCAATCACGGTCTAATAACATCAGTTCCCACCTAATGACATTGATCACGGTCTAATGACATTACCGTCGGTCTAGAGACATCACTTCTTATGTAATGACATCAATCACGGTCTAATAACATCAGATCCCACCTAATGACATTGATCACGGTCTAATGACATTACTGTCGGTCTAGAGACATCACTTCTTATGTAATGACATCAATCACGGTCAAATGACCGGTTTAATGACATCTTTTACAGTTAGGGAAAACACATGGCCGACGGATCATATCTTCAAAGGAAAGTACGATAACTCTAGCGACCATTGTTCTCTTTAAAATGTTAGTGGATCATGACACACAAAGTTTCGTGCCAGACGGGCCGTTTAAATTATTCTTCGAAAATTGGCAATAATCTGTAAATCTTATACTCTTACAGAACAGACTGTAAATAAACATGCAAAACATGAATGAGTGAGTGAATGTTTGATCTTTATGCTTGTGTTCGTAATGTGAAAAAGACAAAACGAAAAAACAAGTCTTATTTTTTTTCTATTTTGTTGACATGATTCCTGGTATCCTGGACAGTAGCTGTTCTTTGTAACAGTGAGTGAGTGAGTGAGTTTTATGCCGCACTCAGCAATATTCCAGCTATATGGTGGCGGTCTATAAATAATCGAGTGTGGACCAGACAATCCGGTGAACAGCAGCAGGATCTTTGTAACAGGGTTTTGGAATAAGAATATAAAATTCAAACATATATACATGTTAATACCAAATAAAAGAACAGGGACCATAGGCGGATCCTGGAACTTTCAAAGGGAGGATGGGGGATTCCAACCTCCTGAACCCCTCTTGGCCCCTCCAATGTAAAACATTAACTTCTATGTGGTCTTTAGACCTAGATATCCGACGTGGAATCAACGTTGAAGTTTGAAGTTTGACCTATTATCAACGTTGAAAAAAGGTTGTATATGAAAGTTTTTTAGACTAGATATCCGACGTGGAATCAACGTTGAAGTTTGACCTATTATCAACGTTGAAAAAGGTTGTATCTGAAAGTTTTTTAGACGTAGATATCCGACGTGGAAGCAACGTTAAAGTTTGACATATTATTATCGTTGAAAATGGGTTGTTTCGTGGTTGTGTATGGGAGGTATTACGCTTTCCTGTAAATAGACTCGCACTTCATCTTTAAACTACACTAAAGTAGCACCAAACTCCTGCATCCAGTTAAAACACCCAAAAAGCTACCTGCAATAACAGTGTTCAAACAGAACATTGCAGTAAAAATATTTACCTGATAAAATACTTGGTTAAAATTCCACATTCAATATAATGTTCATTTAAGTTTTATGTCAGTTGGACGTATAATTCCAGTAAGAAGAAAAGAGTATTCCAAATTAAGAAAAACTATTTACTGTTGTATTGTTATCTTGAAAAGGTGGAAATTGTCCCGAGAAGAAATTTTGTCTGAATTTCAGGTATTAGACAGACCCCTGAATAAACACAATGCAATTACTTTCATGAAAGGGATCCAAGATGACCAGGAACTATACCTGAAGACAGCACATAAAACAAGTCACTTTTCATGAAATCTTTATGAACACACACACACACACACACACACAGAAAAGTGGTTTAAAGCATAATGTAAAACATCACACATGACATAGTCTGTAGGTGTGTGCTAATAACACAATATCATCTGCATATAGCATTAAACTGACATTTACGCCACCAATTTCAATACCACAGTTCAGATTTTTCAACTCAATTACAACTCCAAAAACACAATTATCAGCTCCTCTTCTTTCTGTCACTCCCTGCCTGGAGGTCAGGTGGATACTTCAGAAACGTTCCTAACTCTTTCTTGAAATTTGCTTCGGATGCATTCCAATCTCATTCCCATGAGATAGGACACATTCTGAAATTATATATTTAAATACATGAATAATTTTATATGGAAGATATATTGTCTTAAATGATTCAAGTATTTGTTTAATCAATCACTTGAAAGGTTCATTTCACTGCTATAACTTGGCATGTGAACATATGTAACATGTATATGAACAGCATCCATACAAAATATGACGAAAAGTGTAAACAATTTATATTTTCAACTTATTAAAGGAATGGAAGTTTTCATAAACATTTTCAAAGAAAATCCTCAATTGCAAGTTGATTATTCAATTAGACTATGAATTAGGATGAATTGGACGATGCTTTACTGTCATATATTCTTTGCTATGGTCATGATGAAAATGCTGCATTTGGTAATTAACTTACCAGAGATGATTGAATACAACCTTGTATTCTTAAAAGAAAACTTGCCGTTTTGCCCATCAACATTCATTCTTGACATCAAATTGTTTGACATTGTCCTGCAAAACAATGGAAGATTGTTGTTATTCTGTCAGATTTAGTTTTCTTTTGAGATTCTCGGAAACGATTAAATAGGAGTTGTACTGATGTAGCAATTTTGCTAACAGGAGTCATAAATTGTAACAAAAGCCATTTTACATTAAATGATAAGAAAACAAAATGGGTGGTAGTTCACAGGTCAAAGAACAAGTCTATTGTGGGAGGTCTTCCAACACCATTTATTCCCAAACACAAGGAAGTATGGATCATAATATTCTCTATTATCTACTCTCTCTCTTTGTCATTTGTACACACTCATAAAACTCAGATAAATAACTTCTTCATAATTCAGAAATGTTTACACTTAATCTCTTATAGGAACGCTTAGAAAATCTCTCATTATAATGAAGTGTTCGTATATATAATATCTGTGACGTCATAACTATGCCTCTCTGAATCATGAACAATAAAATAATGAGATTAAACTCATACCCTGAATATAATAAGACAATGAATAACATCTCTTACAACTCCAATCTACACCCAAAAAGACCGAAATGTACTCGTAAACAAACATCGCAGTCACACGCAAATTCTTGGAAACAGTGTATCACTGACTCTCAATTCCAAGAAATGGAAGTCCTAGACCAAAGGGGTGACAGGTGGCCAAAACATATTGAAATGTAGGTCATACACTGAAAATAACTCTGATTTAAAACACTACAAATATACACCTTCTCTCTAATATACTCGATAGATGATCTTGACAAGGGAACATGTACATAAAATGCTGATATCTAACAATACCTGTACTCTAAATAATGGACTCTTCCAAATCTCAGCATGTTTCACTGCACACACATTTAAATGCAAAATAATGAAAAACCTACACTTTGACAATAATAAAAAACATCATATTCAAATTCAACAGCTGACCAAATACTTGAAGAGTGTGTCTCACAGTGATAAACATCTATATATCTCTATAAATTTATGACTTCTGTCCTCTCGCGTGCTATCTCGCATCCAGCTCTTTACGGCGAAAAACAATATGGCGCCAAGCAAGGGAGTGCTCATTAAACTAAACATCTCCGGGAGAAATCATTGTCAAATTATTCTCTTACATGATCAACCTTAATATATAAATGAAGATAAAAACCAACTATTATCACCAAAAAAGACCAAACATTATCACAAATATTCAAAACAGGTGGTAATGAAAGAGCATTATCATCTTTCTCTTAAACTTTATGGTGGATATACTGGAAACAAGTGAAATGTTAAAAACTTGTTACCTTAGCATTGCTCCTTTTATGTGATCCACAAAATTGATGCCACCAAATCTTCGAAGATGAGATTTCTGCAAATTCCATTAAAATTAAATCTGATTTTATAATTCTATTCGAATCCTATTCGATTTTGTATAGCTGCCCTTAGGGACCGTTCATGATGTATGGCTTGGGGGTGATGATGATTTTTTCGAGAAGCATGTACAATGTGAATTCACACACACACACACACACACACACACACACACACACACACACACACACACACACACACACACACACACACACACACACACACACACCACCACCCTTAAAATCATCACCACCACCACCCATAAATTATGATGAGCGGTTCTTTATATTGATGTACTTCATTGATTATTTGAAAATGTATATTTGCAAAATTCAAATCAGGTGATGGGTACGAAAGGAAA